GCCCTCCCCCGCCTCCCCCTTTATCATCGCGACAGACTCTCTGATCGTCAGATCCGAAACCCACCTTTGTGTGGGCTGGGAGTTGGGCGAGTAAAGCCTAACCACGTCCACTTTGCAAACGGCCATCAGGGTTTTCCCAAACCAGGCATGTCAGGCCTGAAGACAAGTCCTTCCTTCCAGAGAATTCTGCTTGGCCCCGTGCTCTGGACTCGGCTGCATCGCACGGATGAGATGGGCGTTGTCCAGCTCGGTGGCCGGCAGGCGGGCCCCAGGACTCGCCCGCCCTCCCAGTTTCGGGTTTACTTGAGACACCCACCTCTTTAGGCGGACATGCCCAGGACCCAGTTTTCTGGGCCGGTTCCATTCAGAACGAAAGGAAGATCCAGATGCAGAGATGGGAGGGTTCTGTGGGAGGGGGCACGGGGACAGGAACATGTTTGGGAACGTTGGCTGTTCTGAAAAATGCGCCCCCAGCCTCCCCCCTACCCCCATCCCCAGTTCTTGTAAAAAGGAACCCCAAACAACCATGGGGCCATTTTAAAAGCCAGCTAAAAAGCACCAAATGTTCACCCAGGGTTGGCTGCTCGGCCAGGATGGGCTTGGGGTGGTTCGTTTGGATCTGGTGCTTCTCCTGTTTGCATCCAGTCTAACGAGGGCACCTGAGAGCCAGTGTTTGCCAATTACCTAGTTCATGGCCAGTAGCGGTTTAGTGAGTGAGTCCAGAGGAAACCATTGGTAAATCAAAGTTGCTTTCATACTTGAGCAAAAGTCAGGGCCCAATGAAAAGGCAGGCTGGTAGGAGGCCTCAGAAAGCACAGGGGCAAGTGGAACGGAAAGACCAGGGGATCTTTGCCGTACCTCTCGAAGCCCCCTCGTGTTCTGCGGTTCGCTCCAGCTCCCTGGCAACAAGAAGGATTGGTGGGCGCTGAAGAATGGTCCAGGGCTGACACCCCAGGAAAGGTTTGGGAGCTTGGTGGAAAATAGAAAGTGAAAAAAAAAAAAAAACAGTCCTTAAATCCCCCTTAGCTTCTGGAGGCCTTAGAACTTGAACAATAATCCTTTGATCTGGGTTCTGCAAGGAGGCCGAGCTGGCCCTGCTGTGTCACTCAAAGTCGCTGGGATGGCCCAATGAGTAGAACTGGACTTGCAGGTGAAGCGGGGTAGATTGGGCACAGTGCACCCTAGAAGGAAGTGTCTGGCAGTAAGACATGCCCAGCACTGTGCGAGCAACACACTCCCGTCAAGGTTCCAGAAAGAAAGATCTGGGCCTGAGAACGCTGGACCCTGTGATGTGAGCAGGTGTTTCTGGCCCCAGGATTCAAATAATTGGCATTTTGCTCTTGAGATTTCTCGGGGCGCTTGGGCCTGGAGGCTGAGAGAATGGAAGCTGGGATTAAGGTTTTGTCAAATGTCTGTCTTTCCAGCAGCAGCCACACATCTGGTGTTCCAGGCACTTGTGTCCTTTCCAACATGGTAGCCGTGATGACATATGTTTGCTTACAAGCCAAGTCAGGCCAGTGGTCTGGAATGTGCCGATGAGTTTCTGGTTTCCCCAAGACCACATACTGTCTTCAACAATTCCTACTCTTAGTGAACCTATAGGACAGAGCAGGGCTGGCCCTTTGGGTTTCCAAGGCTGTCAATCTTTACAGGACGAAACAGCCTCATCCTTTTCCTTCAGAGTGACCAGTGGACTTGAACCACAACTTGTACTTTAACCCACTGTACCACTAGTCCAGCCAGAATTCCAAATTTTCTTTGCTTTATCAAAAATGCCCCTACAATAGAAGAGTGCGTGGGCCAGGTGCTCACATCTGTGGAGTTCTGGGGTGAGTGTGGACTTCTTGGGGACTTGAGTCAGTGCTCCCCCTGGGTTCTTGTTGGGAAGGCTTTCTTAGAAGGCACGTGACCTGCGTGGACTGGAAATCCTCTGGTCGTTGTTAGTGTTTGGGATCTGACTACCTGTAGTTTTTCCAGACCCTTCAGTAGTTCGCTGCTGTCAAGTCGATCCAAGCTCATGGTGACCTCTTGGTGCAGAGCAGAGCCAAGTCACAGAGCTCCCAATGACGTGACCTTCGGGAAGCAGATTCCCAGCCCTGTCTTCTGAAGCACCTCTAGTTGGGTTTGAACTGCCAACCTTTTTGGCTGTGTTCAAGCATTGAACCATATGCACCACACAGGGATACTTCAGATACCTCTGGAGGCATTTGTTTCATCTGCTTCAAGTAGTAGCTTCTTCCTAGACCTCTGTCGAGGATCCGTGGTGGCATTAACGGATTAAAGGTTGGAGTGCTGACCACAAGATCGGCTAACCATTCCGCGGGAGCACGGTGAAGCTTTCTGGTCCCATAGCGATGTACTGCCTCGGAAAGCCACAGAACAGCTCTGCCCCAGAGGGTCTCGGCGAGTCGGAGTGGACTCGATGGCGGTGCCTTTGGTGCAGGGTTTATAGCTTAGTTCAAAGACGTACGGCCAGAAATCCGCTTAGAAATCCGGATGGTTAAGACTTCGTTTCATGTACTCTGCACATGTCCTCAGGAGAGACCTGTCCCTGGAAAAGGGCATCGTGCTCGGGAAAGTGAAGGCTGCAGAGAAGCGGAAGGTCCTCAGAGAGACGGACTGGCACAGCCCAAACACATCAACAGTTGTGCGGACGGTGCGGGACCGGGCAGGGCTCCTCCTCTTGTGTGGGGGGTCTCAGTCCCAACTAGCACCATGGCCCCCAACAGCAACAGACCCCGGTGTTGGTGTGGCTTCCCGGAGGCACAGCCGTGTTAAGTGTGGACGCGTGCTTCGGCTGCATTGATTACTGTCCTGATAGAGTTTAATCTGACCTATACAGCTAAATAGCCACTTCCTGTGAAATGTCTTTTTGGAAGGTTATCAAGCATCTTTCTACCACACCTTTGTCCAAAAATAAAACAAACTGTGTCACCTTTGATCTAAATATTCTTCTGGTTCCTCTTCTCAAAAGGCCAAGAGCCCTCTTGGGTTGAGCCCCATCCTCAGCGTAGCCAGATGAGCTGGGAGGTAATTTTTGTCAGAAGCTCGTTTACTCTGCTTCTTACTTGGTAAATATCATTGTAACACCCTCCTTTTTTTATTCTCTTTTTAATGATACTATGTCAGAGGTCATTTGTGATCCAAAGGGATTTGAATATTTTCATCAAAAGCACTTTTTAATGGTTTGTTTTTATTGGCTTGCATCCCTAGACCATTGAAAGCATCCTGTAATGTGCTCTGGTTATGTGTGTCTGTGGCTATTTTTGTCGAAGCTGTGTTTATTGGGCACCTATTAGGAATGGACAGACCAGTAGGCCAGGAGCTGGGCTGGAGCAATGGTGGTGACCTCAGAGAAGCTCTAGTGCCGCGCACAGGGCGCAAGACCAAGCACTCGGGAAGAAGCCGCCAAGGGGCGGAGGCGGAGGGTGGGCAGAGGCAACAAGAACCAGCAAGGACAAGAAGCTGTGGAAGTGATGTGGAGCCAGCCCAATGGCCCTGGGCTCTGAGTAGCTTCTCTGGGCCCTCTCCCTGCTGCACTCTGTCAGCTCTGGGGGGTCCTGGAGTCCACTGTAATCTAACTGGGAAAGTCAAAGAGGCTCAGGAGTGGGGAGTGGTACCGACATTCACCATCTTACTGTACTGTCAGCAGTCTTTTTTCTCATCTTAATTAACTTTCACAGTATTACTAATTACTATGTAAAAATTAACTATGGCAAAGCCTTCTGTTCTAGTCTGTAACTGTTCAAAGTTTACCAGGGAGTGATTTTGAGAGATGTGAAACATTTTAATATGCTGACCCTTGACCCTGACATTGAAGCAGTTGAATTCCTCATCCTTCAGTAGAGGCTACAAAGCTAATGTTATAACCAGACTTGTGGAGTCCGTATCTAGTATTATATTTACTAGTATTCTAAAATTTAAGTTCTTCAATGATTTGGGTTGGGTGATTGTTTTGTTGTTGTTGTTGTTTATCTTCTACTCTTTCTTGAATGTCTTTCCATAGATTTCCCCCAACAAGTTTCAATTTATGATCAATTGCACTCAAAAGGCTTTCCTGTGAAAACATTGCAATTGTCTTCTTCTGGGAATAAAATCATTCTCTCTCTTTCAAAAATCTTGCTACATACCTCCTTTGCCAAGAGACCAGAAGAACCAGATGGTGCCCATCTACCATCACTGGACATTGTGATCAAAGATTCTACAGTAGAATACTGATCGCAAGGGGGAAAATGTAAAATAGAATTTCAGATGCTCACTGACTGCAGACTTTTTAGAGCAATAGAAGCTGCATGAAGCACTACGATGACTGCCCTGAAACAATCTTGAAACCTCAATACAAAAATATCCCTGAAGTCGTTTTAAAGCCAAACTCTACTTTAGCTTACCTAGGAATGAATGCCTGGCTTGAGCAATTTGCTCTTTTAAGAACTATCCATACAGGATCGAAAGGAGCCCTGGTGGCGTGGTGGTTATGCATCGAGCTGAAAACCACAAGGTCAGCTGTTCAAAACAGCCAGATGCTCCTTGGGAGAAAGACAGGGGTTTCTACTCCTGAAAAGAGTTAAGAGTCTCAGAAACGCACAGGGCGTAGGATGACTGTGCACAGGGCGTAGGATGACTGCGCAGCTGGAGGAGCGCAGACAGGGTCGGTGGGGAAGTGGTTGAATCGGGAGGTGTCTATTTTCAGCAACAACAGCAACAAAATAAACCACTTAAAACAAGAACCTTGTACATTCTCTAGGAACAATAACTACTGCCTAGGAAGAGCCCTGTTTAGAAGGGACTCCCTGCCTGTTGTCAGCAAGGCAGGTGAGGGGGGCTTGGAGAGGGCATGTCTTGGGTGTGGGTTTCATCCCAGGATACCCACCAGCCAGCCATGGACTATCGAGCGTGGGGGAGAAAGGTAAGACTGCTGCTCGGCTACCGGTTTAATTTTGTTATTTTCCTTTTTGTGTCGAATGTGTCTCCTGCCCCTTCTCTCCGGGCACCCCCGCCAGTGGACGTTGTCGGTAAGTCGACTAGCCGGTCTCCCTGGTCACGGCATGGTTCTTGCGGTGGGCTTTCCATTCTTGTCCAGACCTTTGCTGGTGGCTGCGTCCCCCTCCCAGCTTGGGACAATCAACTGTGCCTACATAATTCCCAATGACTTTGAGAAAATTGTGTGTGTGGCGGGGTGTGTGTGTGTGTGGCAGTGTTATGTTAATCATGTGCCTTCTTGGATGCTTGGCCATTTAAAACCTTAGCACAGCACTCAAAGGGCCTTTGCATAATCTCAATTCAATGCATGACTCACGGAAAGAAGAAATACAGAGTGGTTGGCCTGCCCTTTCTATAGGCAGTACACTAAAACATCATAAGTATGTATGTACCTATCTATCTTGATCCCAGACAGCACGTACTACATCACCCTAATGGGCTTATCAAAGTAATTCCCTAATCGGATTTGCTTTTGTAATAATAAACTTGCAAAATAGCTTGGACTTTGTCTTCCCAGTTAGTACCATAGAGTTCTGTCCAAAACTAATCAATTCATTAAAAAACAAAACAAAAAGAATGCCAAAGTATTTCTTATTTCAGCAGAGTTTCAGAATGACCTACTTTAATGGTGTCAGAATCTTCCAATTCAGTGCTCACAATCACTCTTCTTGGCTCAATGTGGAATCTCGTCCTGGGGCTTGATTTTTGCTACTGGCACGCCCGGTCCCATGGCTTCTGCCTCACGGTTGTCTCTGGGTCTTGGGAGGGGCTGCAGCCTGTGAAGTGTCTCCCTGGGTTTCTTCGCCTGAAACGTACCCAGGTGTCCCCAAGGCACCTGCGTTGAGCAGCTCTTCAGAGCTTTGACTTGGATTCTGCCGACAACGAAACCCACACGTGCCCAGGTGTCTTGGACAGTCAGGGTTGGGTGGCTTGGGGTTGGGAGCACAGTTCTGTCTCTGCTTCTCCCTTGCGGTGGACGACTTGTGGAAAATGAGTTGACGCTGAAAGCTTACACCACAAACCACACCGTTTCCTGGAAGTCCGCTTTGTCCCCATGAGGAAGGTGGGCCTGCCTGGCGGGTGCTCTCTCTCACGTGGATGGGCGACCGCATCTCGCCACGTTAGATGAGCATCCTAAGCAGCAGTGGCGGGCACGCATGGCGGTGGGATGGTCTGGAAAAGGACAGCCAGAGCCGGTACACACTTGGGAGAATGTGAACGGTGTTGCCGTTCGCGCGTGTGGACACTGTTCGAACAGTGTATCCTTGGCTGTGTGTATTTTCACCATAAGCTTAAAATTTAGTTGGCACAAGTCGGCCATCACCACGACGGCCATGGACCCGATAGCACAGGGGGAGCTGCGCCTATGGTTTCCCAGGCTGTAAGTGTGCTCGGGAGCAGAGAGCCTCATCTTCTTCCCACAGCGGGACTAGTGGGTTTGAGTCGTTGAGTGTGCGGTTGGCAGCTCATTGTGTACCTCACTATGCCCCAGGGCCTGCCCTCTATTCCCTCGGGTCCAGGGAAGCATCAGGTGTGAGCAGAACATGGGGGACAAGAAAGGAAGCAGGTGTAGTGGGGTACTGCACGCTCTGCCCACTGTTAGCTACATGAGGGCGCGGGGGGAGCACGAGTGGGCTTCACGCCATCCCAGTGGAAGCTGGGGAGGTTGGTGGAATTTCATCTTCTGGATTAAGCATTGGGCTCCTAACCCTAAGAACAACGGTTCAAACCCACCAGCCGCTCCTCAGGAGAAAAATGAGGCTGACTCTTCCTGGAGTTTCAGCTCGCCCATCCCTCGGGGCTGGGCGACTGGCTGACTGGCTCGAGCTGGTGCCATCTCTCCCCTCGTCAGCATTCTCCTCCGAGGGCTGCAGCAGAGCCAGCCCCCTGCCATTTATTCACTCACTCATTCGCCCATCCATTCAGTCACGAGACAGGTCTACGGGCCGCCTGTGTGCTGGACGCCTGCATGCGGCTACAGAGCTAGCAATAGGACGGTGAAGATTCACTCATCTAGGCAGCAGTGCTGGGCAAGTCCGGGGGTGGAGGAGAAGGGAGAGACTGGGTTTTCCCAGGGGTGCTGGGGGTTCCAAAGAGGAGACTCTTAGAGGCCAAGCTAAGCGCTGCTTGTGGAGAATTGGGGGTGCATATCACAAGAGGAGGAAGAGTCTGTGGAAAGAGCTGTGGAGAGCTGGTCAGTGTGACCAGAGGCCCACTGGGGCTTCATCGCTCTCTTACTCACTTAATAACAACAAAGGCGCTTCCAGAAATGAGTGGGAAAGACAAACTACCTTTCAGTTTTATTCTTCCTTGGCATGTTGAGCCCCCCTGGTATTGGCACTGGCTGCTGGGCCTGTGACAGTGGACATTGCAAGCTGGCACGCTTTTATGGACTTTTCTGCATGCGAGTAGCCACACGCAATGTGATCTGATGATTCCTGGAATCCCCCAGGCGGCGTGTGCTATAGGGGGTGTCAGCCCACACTGGCAGGGTCCCCAGGGAAGGGCATGTTTTTCCCATGCTGCCGAAAGACATGGGCTGGATTTCAAGACTGCCGCGTGGTGGATAAAGAGCCCCGGAGCACAGTGGCTGAGCCGGAGGAGCCTGCCCTGGGCTACCCCAGAAGAAGGCCTGGTCAGCTGCTGCTGCAGATGCCAGCGAGCAGTCCCTGCAGGGCAGTCTGCTCTGTCCCCAGGGTCCCTGTGCATCGCGACGGACTCCATGGCACCCAGCAACCCCCACTTAGGGGTGCTGCATGGCTCTTCCAGCTTCTCCGAGCAGAACTAGACGGAGGGGAGCTTGCAGCCGAGAGCAGAGACCCCTGACCTTGTCATTAGAAGCCTGACTTTGTCTTCCCTTCAGTACCTCCTTATGTAAGTCGTTCTTACAGGTGCTTAGCACATACATTTAGAATATGAAGACAAGGGGGGGGCGGGCTGCATAGTGGATACAAGTTGGGCTTCTAATTGCATGATCAGCAGTTCGAAACCACCAGCCTCTCCTCGGTTTGGAAAAGACGAGGCTTGCTACTCCCATAAACAGTTACAGTCTCAGAAGTGCACAGGGGCAGTTCTACCCTGTCCTATCATGTGGCTACCACTCCATAGCAGTGATTTCTCCCCCCTCCCCCACAGTAATATTTTTCTTCATAATATTAAGCAGCAGAAGAAGACTTGCATAGCTTCACCGCTCTTCTGTGCTAAAAGAGTTTTACTGCAAATTCAAGAGAGAGGTTTCGCTCCAAATTCTCATCTCTGGCCTCCCCGTGCTGGCCCAATTCCCCATGTAGATCCCAAAGCCTCTTGAATGGTAGGGTGCTGTCCAGAGGGAGAGGCCTCCTCATTTCACAGGGCAGCTCTGGGAGTCGAAAACCCAGTGAGCAGAAGCCGCGGGTCCTGGAACCTGGCCGGGAAAGAGTGCTGACGACTGGGGGGTATTTGGTTCTGCAGAAAAGGCCACCAAGCCTCTCTGCTGAGGAATTTTGTCTGGAAAGGCCATTTAAGGCTCCCTCCTTCCTGCCTGGCCAGCCTGGAATGTGCTGGTTCTGCACTGCCGGCAGGGCCGTGCTGGGTGCAGCCAGGGGACACACTCCCAGCATGTTGTTCCAGCGTGGCCGCCTTCGTTCCACAAATACTTGAGCACCTGCTGCCTCCAGGCACGTGTGCAGGGCAAGAGGGGCCAGTGATGAGCAGAAAGCTGCCCTCTATCAGACCACTCAGAAAACCAAAGTGAAATGAGAGTGTAGGAGGTGCTGCACAGGGCGCCTGTAGGGAGCATCTGAGCTCAGGCAGTGGGGCCAACCCACCCAGGGCTTCCCAGTGGGCACACGGAACTCATGTTCCCAGCTGCTGGCAAAAACTGGGAGATTCCAACCCCCCTAGAAGTGCCAGCCTTGAAAACCCTGGGGAGCAGGGCCACCCTGAGTCAGAGTTGACTGGAGAACATGTCATCTTTTTCTCAGCCAGAATAGTCAAGGAGGCCTTCTCTGCAGGAGCAGGGATGAAGGATGAGCAGGGAGATGTGTAGATACAGGGGTGGGGAGGGTGGTGTTTGTGAAGGTGGGCTCAAAGGGGGCGAATTAGAGTGGAGGAGTGAAAGGGGGGAATTAGAGCTGGGTGGGTGGCTCGGAAGGTAGATGGAGGAGTCAAGGTGGACTGCTGTCATGTTTGCTCTGTAGGACGGGCAGTGAGAAAGGGGCGGGTTGAGAAGGACCCATGGTCCCTGCATTGGGCGGCCGTGGGGGCTGCTGGGGGGGCTGGTTTGAGTACAGTCAGGGTGGCTAGGGGCTGCTTCCAGATGTCCAGGTGGAAGATCCCCGAGGAGCTATGCAGGTGGTAATAGCCGAGGTGAAGCAAGAGGTAGAGCCGGGTCCCTGCGGGAGGAAGTGCTTGAGCCCTTTCTATGCTCAGTCTGAGCGGACTCCATGACCCTTAGGAAGGCCTGATGGGAAGGAGAACATTCTTTTGCCCTTTAACCCAGCACAAATACCCCTGTGACCTTGTGGACGTGAGCATCTTGTTCGTGTGTTAGTCCCGGGCTCACGGCCACCCCTTGCACGTCCCAGTCCTGTGGTCGGTTGCAGATGGGACCATTGTGCTCCAAGGGGCTTGCAGTTGGCTGATTTTCCACCATCAGTTGCCAGGCCTTTCTTCCCAGTCTCTTAGTCGGGAAGCTCCGTTGAAACCTGTTCAGCGACCGGCAACACACTGACGGACGGGAAGTTGCCCGCAGGGGCACTGGCCATGGCTCAGACTGACTTTCCTGCTTCAAAGGCAAGACTAGAAGCCACACCTAAAGCCAGGCCTCCAACTGGGATGTGGGATGGTTTCTGCCACAGCCAACTTTTTATGAATGTAATTGCAGGTTGTGTTAGTAAATTTAAGAAATAAACATTGTGTTTATAGGTTATGATATGTCCTGAATGGAAATGTTTTCACGCTAACGATAATTATAGCCATCTCCGCAGATTATACTTATTTTAGAATACTACGGTTAGGAAGTCCTTTCATTATAGCAGAGTGTGTATTTAAAGTAACTTTGCTGTGATTGTGGAATTAACTTAAGCACACATTTCCCAAATTAGATAACACTGAATTCTCTTTGCTTTCCTATGTAGATATGTTTTTTAATGTCAGAGTTATTAATTACACTGTGCCTAAAAATTATGAAGAGAAAGAGAAAGATTTTTTTCTCCAGCATTGTATATTATAAGACCAGAAATCAGGCCCGTTACTGGCAAGGCGGTTCCCCCCATGGCGACCCCGTGTGTCTTAGAGTACACCTGAGCTCCCTGGGATTTTCCGTGGCTGGTTTTTCAGCGGGTAAAGGGCAGGCCTTTCTTTGAGCCACCTCTGAATGGACTTGAACCTGCAGTCTTTCGCACGATGGAGATATTAACGTCTACACTTCCCAGGGTTCCCTTATTTGAACGTTTCTGGGATGACAGAAATCGGGCTGCTAGCTGCCAGGTTGGTAGTTCAAACTCAGCAGCCATTAAGTGAGAGAGGGATGAGACTGTCAGATTCCATAAAACATGGGCAGCTTCGGAAACCCTATGAAAGGTCCCGTGACTTGGAATTGACACTGGCAATGGGTTTGGTTTGGGTGTGGAATCAAAGCACACCCATGGAAGTTTTGTCAGCTATTCTCGTTTAACTTACACACTTTCCCTCCTGCCCCTCTCTGCCAAATTCAGAGCTTCTGACTTGGTCTGTGGCACCCCACGTTTTGTTAGTTAGATGGTCTCAGAGAGAAACTCAAAGAAGGGCCCCAGAGCGGCTCTGATCCCCATGGCCTCACCAACCGTGACCTGCAGTGGGCCGGGCTGTTCCGTGGGTTCCATTGAGAAGGGCGTGGTCACATCCACATTCAGACGATGCAAGTTCAGGAGCACAAGCCATTGTTCCAAAATGTTGTCACAATGCCATTTTAAATCGATCACCAGGCCTTTCTTCCTCTTCCTCTTCAAATAGAGAAGGAGAAAGCCTACATTTTGACGAGCACTGGACCAGGGCGGGGCGCCCCAGCCCTCCCCTTGCAGTGGGGACCCTCTGGAGGGAGCAGCTGGTGGATCCCGGGGAGAAACGAGGAGTGACTTTAGCTTCCTGCCCCCTGGATCACAGACTCACCCGAGAATGCAGGAGCCCTGTGACCCCGTGCGAGGACCAAAGAATCGGGATGACAACTGCCGTCCTCTGTCAGAAAGAAGCGGCCTGAGGGGCGGGTGCTGGAGGAACCAGCCTGTGGGACCCCCACAACTGAGGGTGGTTGGGCCTCGCAGGACTGGCGAGAGGGATCTGGAGCATGCATCCTGGCCTCCTTGGAAGGCATTCATGGGATTTAAGAAGGCACAGTTCTCCCTTTATCGGAAACCTTCAAGCTTAATCTGCACCTCGGAAGTGACCTTTCCATAGGAAAATCCGACTCCCTGGTCTTCTAGGCTGTTCATTCAGCCATCTCCCCTCCTGCTCCAGGCTAAGCTTCCTCGTCGGCTTGCACGGGGAAATGTGGACGAGTCCTTCCACTCTAGTCCTTTTCTCCTGCATCCTGGGACACTTTGCATTTAAAGTTCTCTAGAAGGTAACAGGGCAGGCCTTTCCTGGGAGGCATGGTGGGATTCACTCATTCAGCAGTCATTAACTCATTCGAGGAAAAGGGTGTTCAGCACTAGAGGGAACTGGGTGGGATGGAGGAGAGTCCACCCTGGCTCTGTTCCTTTCCTTGTATGACCTTGGACAATTCCTTCAACTTCCCTCAACCTCAGCTTCCACGGAAGCATACAAGGTCAGCATGGCTAGGCCCCCAGGCCCCTCCCCACTCTAACCTTCAGCATATAAAACTCGGAGATGGACACACGTGGAGCACATCTGATATGCAGGGGAACCAGCAAGGGCCGGACCTTGAGGACACAGACAGCCTCGATCTTCCAGGTCTCACAGCCTTTCCACCTTTGTCAGGGTGCATTTCCGGTTGCTGTTTCCATGGACGATATTTGAGTTGTCCTTCTCGGACAGGCATACGCCTTCCTTGGGTTCGGCACCCTCAGGTGTTGCTGTACATGCTCTGCGGTAATGTCTTTCTTGGGGGCTGAGAAAGGTCCTTTTCCGGTCTGGGTGGTGGGCAGACTGTGTGGAAGCTTGACAGCTGGCATCCTGACGTGGTCGCCATCCTTGCCCGCTGCCGATCGGGTGTGCAGGAGCTCAGACTCGGCTCCTCAGCCTGCCTGCCTTCCCGCGTTCATTCCCAGGCAGCAGTCTCCGTCTGGGCGCCACACCGTCTCTGTGCTGGCTACTCCACCTGGCGGGCCTTGTGCTAATAAAACCTTATTTAAGAAACCGCTTGCCAGCCTCGTTCCAGAGTTGCTTGAAAACCTTGTGTTTGTTGCAGATTCTAGAAATGGTTGCTTCCATTTAACTGAGCTCTGGGAATGTGGGCAGGAATACCCCGATGGCTCAAGCAGGTAGGCAGTCAACTGTTAGCCAAAAGGTTGGCAGTTCAAGTCCCACAGGGGTGCCTTGGAAGCAAGGCCTGGTCATCTGCTTCTGACCAGCTTCCAAAGCCGCTGGTTTTGAGTGGGTGCAGGCTGACCCAGACTCGGCTCTGGTGTCCACCAGTAGGGAAGGGGCTGGGGCTGTGTCGTGACTGCACGTGCTTACCAGAAAGGCACCAGGGATCTTCGTGGGGCTTCGACTCACTGCCCAGGGCTCCAGGGGCCCAGTGTTGGCCACTTTTGTTTTTTGTTTTGGGTTTTTTTTTTTTAAATCATTTTATTGGGGGCTTTTACAGCTCTTATAACATTCCGTACATCAGTTGTATCAAGATATTTGTACATGTGTTGCCATGAGCATTTCCAAAACATTTTCTACTTGAGCCCTTGAGATCAGCTCCTCTTTTCCCCCCCGGACATGTTTGTTCTTGGTGCTGGAAATTTCTCCCAAACACTGGCTCTGCGGCTGAGGCAGGTTGCAC